GAAATTTCTAACAAACGAATGCTTGGGACTTAGCTGTGGACTTGCTCAAAGCTTGTCACACCAGCCTTCTGTTCTGAAATAGCTTTCATCTATTCTGAGGATTGAATAGAATAGATGCTTTAGTGCTTTGCTGCAAACTACTTGTTATTTAGGCTGCTTTTTTGCAACAATGTATTACAGTGAAAATTTATTAATAGAGAAGTTGTGTTCTAATTGAAACTAAACATATTATAAAGCAGTGTGATACAAAAGTAGGAATAGATATCAATAAATACAATAGAAAATGCCAATGCAGTGCCAAAGCATGGCAAAATAATGGGAAGAAAATATGGTTTAATGATCCAGAATTTATGGATTCTAGTACATGTTGTTGTACATTTATATATACAAAATGCTTTTCCCTACAGAGCTACTTTAAAATTCCTTATAACGTATCTGTAGTAAAAGTCTTAGCCCTCTTTAAAGCAAAACATTTTTGGTGAAATTAGAATGTGTCTTGTTATAACTATATACTTTGTTAAGAATAATACTAAATTATATTAAATGCTTTTGAGGAAATGCTTCTGGAAGCATTTTAAATAGTACTGAATCACCTGAAAAAGACTGAGAAAATTATCTATATTCCATTATCCAGTAATAAAAGTCATTATTGCATTGGTAAACATGATCCAGATTTGTCTTTGTTATGTATGTATGTTTGCTATATAATTTAACATTTATGGGAATCTGTCTTTTCCTTCACTAATGTGTTACAAATATCATTTTTAAGGACTGGTGGTAGGTATTTTATTGTGTGTGTATACTTTATGGTTCACTTTCTGAATGTGGGTTGTTTTTGTCAGAGGTACTAAAGCACATGATCTTACCTATCAAAACCAACTGCTAGTTATCCTTAATATTTATTTTTGAAAAATAATAGTGATTTATTTTTGAAAAATAATAGTGTACTGTCTTATACTTTTGTTTATATCTTTGGAATGTGTGTTTTGTCCCCTTAAGAAAATGATTCTCATTTTAACTTTATGCAGTCTACCTTTAGTAGTTTATTCTCAAATCCTGTTTGTGAATTGGACATACTCATTTCCTAGCACTTTGAAATGAGCTAATTAGAGCTCTCCCTTTTCTTTTCCCTGGGTTCAAAGTCAAGGCTGAGAACTTGGCTTTCGAGTGGAAGAAAAGATAAGTAACTCAGAGGACAAGGCAAGGAAGGGTTACTGAAGATGAGCACAGTTAAAATCAGGAACTCTGAGACTTGTTGGTATGTCCCAAGCAGCCAGCCAGCATGCATGGTGGTTATGAAAAGGTGAATTCATAACCTGCCTCCTAAGCGTAGATCTTAAAAAAATTATTGGCAATGTTCTTTCTGTGTAGAGATGACTTAGAGATATCACAGTAGTTAAATGAGCTTTCAGGTCTTTCTTTATAGCTAATTTTCCATCACAAATTTTATTTTATTTTCGTACCTATCATTTTGTTAGCAATCCAGTGAGACAGAGGAGGAGAAATGGTCTGACAGTGATTGGTGAGAGGCCACGATGATGGTGGTAGAGTCACTGCCTCCACAGGACATGGTATGGTACTAAGAGCATAGACCTTAAAAGCTGTACAGTTCTGGGTTTGAACCTCACCTGTGTTCCCTGCTAGCTGTGTGACTTTGGGCAAGTTTCTTAATCTTTCTGAGGTTCAGTTTTCTAATGAGTAAAATGAGACTAATAATCCCAGCTTCTCAGGTTTCTGTGGGTCAAATGAGATTTTTATAATGTACTGAATAATAGTTCAACATAGTGGTTAAGAATCTGGGCTCTTGACTTAGATTGAATGTACAGATCCCACCTCTGTCACTTACTGGTTGCATAACTTCACTAAATTACCTGACTTCTCTGTAGTACTTGTTTCCTCAGCTGTTATCTGGAATAATAGTAGGTTTGTTGTGAAAATTAAAGAAATTAATACACATGTATTCTTATTAGTTAGTATTAATGCTTGTTGTTGTCTGATTCTATAAACTGTTAACACTGGGTAGCTAATAAGAAGTCTCCTTTAATGCTGAGATGGTTCTACACTGTGTGTTTAGTAGGATGTAACTTCAACAACTCTCTCATCCCTTGATTATCACTGAAATTTGTTGTTCTTGGATGTGAAGTACTATTGATTTCCAATTACCTCACATTGCTCAGTGGTATGTTTTCTTACAAGATAGAAAAATTCCTTTTAAAATTGAAACCCTGAAAACCCTGGAAACCCTGACTCAGACAATTCACTGATTTCCGTAGTGGTGGAGCCAGAAGGTCTTGAATACTTTCAACTCCCCCCATTCTATTTCTTTTTTGCTGAGAAGGGTCTAGGAGTGTGACATGTGTTTGTTTTCATTCTAGCCATGGATTTTGTAGGCATGTAAGAAAAATTATTTTTCTACCTAGTTTTACCATGAAAGTTAACTAAATTATTTGTGTTTGAATATGTTTCTAAATAGTGCTTTTCCTTTTAGGAGATACAGTAGACTAGTAAAATAATATTTTTTCCATTTCTTTCATAGATGAGTTGTCAGAGAAATTTAATTTCTCACACTTGTTTCTTGTTGAGATTCATTCCCTTTTACTGGGCTGGAGGCATGTCTCAAGTGGTAGAGTGCCTGACTAGCAAGTGTGAGAATCCAAACCCCAGTAATGCAAAACATATAGGCAGACAACCCCAAAACCCTCATTCCCATTAACTTGTGAAATTATATTTAAATCATGAGTATTTAGAGGTGAATTAATGCCAATTTTAGTAAGTTCTTTAATTCAAATTTTATTGTAATATCCAGTGGGTTTGCTGCTGCATTTTAAGTGTTTTTATACCACTCATTTAATTCTCAAGTTTAACCCCCCATTATTGTATTTACATTTTATAGGTAGGAAGCTAAACTGCAGACTAATATGGATTAAAGAATTAGTGGAAAGGAGACTTACGTACAAGTTATCTGATTTTAAATCTTATGCTGTTTCTAGTTTTCTGTGCTATCTTTTCACCTTTCCATTGTTCGGATATCCCTGCCTGTTACTAGAAAGTTTGACTTGGGAATAGTTTCATAACACTCTAAATTTTGCCTTTTTCCTTCTCAAACACAAGCAAGCTAGCAAGAAAGAAATAAAAAAAAAGAAACTTCTGAACATGTCTTAATTTATGTAAGATTGATTAGTCTTCATGGTTTTCAGCATTAATCTCAAGTCAGCCAGGTGCCAGTGGCTCACACCTGTAATCCTAGCTACTTGGGAGGAACAGGTATCAAATAGTTCAAGAGACTCCCATCTCCAAAATAACCAGAGCAAAATGGAGTAGAGGTGTGGCTCAAGTGGTAGAGTGCCTGCTTTTCCAGGGCAAAGCCCTAAATTCAAACCCTAGTGCCACCAAAAAAAAAAAAAAAAAAAAGAAAAGAAAGAAAGAAATTCCCAAGTCATGTATTTTATAATGTTGGAGTTGGAATATCCTCAGATCTAGTCCAACTCCTTGTCTAGAAGGAATCTGGGACCCAATGATGAAGTCATGCAGAATTTCTTTATAAGCCCTAAAACTCCTTCAAACAGTTTTTTAAATTAAGGTGGCAGAATGTAACACTTCTTGAATTTTTCATCTTCTTCAATTCAGTATGAACCTAATTTGTCTCAGTGCAAGGTTGAAACTAACTAACAATTTCATTTACTGGTCAGGTTTTAAAGGGCAGCATTCAGGAGGAGAGGCTCTTACCAGAACCCTCGTTATGTAATGAGAGTATATGCCATGAGCTCTCACCGTAGCAACTGGCAAAAAAAAAGTCATTGAGGGCTAACACACTTTCATATTATTAGGAGGAAAGGGGAGATCTCTTCACCAGTCTGACATGCTGTCCTGTGGATATGATCTTGCTGGAGAAATAGAATGAATGTTACAGAATGAAAGTGGCATGATCAGGAAGGAAGGGGTTCAAAGGGAGAGCTTGACTTCTAGCTTTCCAGTTGTGCTTCCTGTCAGCTGAGGAATAATTTGTACAGGGCTAATTTATGTGCTGATTGTGTGTTTGTTTGGTCCATCTCAGCATGAGGTTTATATCTCTTCCCACTTCCCTTAAATAAGCTACGTTTAGGTTAAGGGGTCATACCTTTGTTTCCTCTAACAGAGCATGGGGGCTCATGTTTCCATGATTAGCATAGGTATGATGTAGGAATAAAGAAACATATTATTCACTTATATAAATTCTAAACACATAATCACAAGTTCAAAGCTCGTAAATGAAGGGGTGATCGTTTGCTTTATCAATGATTTCTTTGCACTGTAAAAATTTCACTTTGTAGTCCCTTATGTTAGTGAACGCCTGTGTTGCATTCAAAATGAAATTTGACTCAGAAAACTCAGTTTAAGAGCAGATTATCCTGAATCCACCTACACATAATCATCATTTTTGTGTTCAAATGCTCAGTTGAATGTCCCACAGAAACAGTGAAGAGTTCCATATATGCCCTTTGGTATAAAATGCCTGAATTTGGTGTGCTAGAAAACTGTGCTATTCTTTAGAAATTTAAGATTATCTTTCTTCACCAGATAAGTACAACTTAGTATATTGATAGAATTAACCTTTATAGATTCAGATTTTCTTTTCATTAAGTAAACAATGGATATTCATCCTGAACTAAACTAAACTAAACTGAAAGTTTCTCAGTCTGGAATTGTAGATTGCAAATACAACTCTGAAATTAAATATATTCAGGTTATACAAATATATGTAAACTAAGGAAGTATGGTCTATAAGTAGAAAACTTGGAGGAACAAGAGTCAATTACATGAAAATTTTCTTTCCTTCTCCTTAGCCTTCAAGCTTTGAAGCATACTTAAGAAAACAGTGTTTAACCATGAAAAAATCCCTTTGTCAAGACTCAGGTCTTAACAAAGTTTGTGGCTCTTGTGCTACTTTGCATAAGAGATGAATATGGAAATATATTTCAGCCTTTTTGCAGGATAAGGTGAAGCAAAGAAAATGGCCCTGCTGAGTATTTCAAAGAGCCCTTGTGTGGGTATTTCAACTTGAAAGGAGATTAGTATTGGAAGTCTGTGATCATGTCAAACGTTTGTAATTGAAAGTGGCTGCTGAAACGAATTCTTTACGTAACTTGATGTTAGAAGTCTTGCTGATGATGAGGTAAGTGGATTGAGTTGGAAATGACCTGTTTGTCATTGCTTGAACTACTAAGCCAGGAAACTTGTTACCTGGAAAGAGACTTTAAAAAGCATCAACACTGAGAAGTGTTTGATAATTCAAGTCTAAGAGGCTCTTTGAAAAGTACAGAAGGAATATATGCATAGGAATATATACCCTTGAATTTTGCTATTAATGTTGTCTCTTGCCATAGTTAAAATGGAACCTTTTGGTACTTTTGTAGCCATATATTATAAAATGATTTTTGCCCAACTCTAAGCCTAGGCATCTCTAGTACATACCTCATATAGAAAGTCTTATTCTCTGAGCTGGTTTTGATCCTTTTGCTTATATTTCTATCCTTTGAAATCAAGGTTTAGAACTTCTGGGGGAAGTTTGTGGATTGTCATAGCTCCTTCCTATACTTCTCAATGTAAATTAAAAATATACTATAAAAATTCTTTTGGACTTGCAAATGAAAAAAACATACTCTGATTGGCTGCCTAACAACATCTATTACATCTGCATACTAACGAATGAACACTTCTACCAGGCAGTTTCTGAGTGATGTGCAGCTTTTGGAAAACAACAGTGAACAGGAATTGTTTTTCTTAGAGGATTTTATTTGCTTATCCAAGGTAGTAGAGGAACATTAAATGATTTTTGATGGATTTTATTTTCTTGGAGTACCTTCTACAACCTGAAATTCAGTTGGTTATTGTGCTACAGGATGGGTGCACTGACTTTGTCAAAAGAATGAGCAAGAATTTCATTTGACTGTGGTTTGTTAGTTCACAATACTCATGGATATCTGGATCTCTAACCTTGGCTTTTTATAACTGTAATCCTAGGCATTCGCTCACTATGAGAACACTTCTGTTTCTCTTTTTTTCTTTTTATTTGTTCATTTGAAAAGCCTTTCAAAAGGAATCAAAGCCTGCATGTGATTATAGCTATCAGTAGCACTTAAACTAACTGCTGAGATGAAACTTTTCTTTTTGGACCCTGCTAATTTCACGTATCAGTAGAAAAAGAATACCCTTCCCACCTCTTAAAAAGCCTGAGTTTGCTAATTGGTAGCTGCCTTTTGGATTGAGCCAGATTCCTTAAGGACAGCATTTGATAGAATAATTTTTGACATTTTAATTTGACAAGAAACAATTCAGGGAAATGACTTAGACATGTTCTTGAAGTGGAGTCTTCTCTTGCTATGATCACATCCTTAGTGCAGGGAATGCCTTTGAAGGTCAGCCACACTTTATAAACCCTGTGATCCATCTCATATGAGAGTTCAAGCCATTTGGTAGGTGTTTTTGTAGGAGCATCACGTAAAAGACTTACATTGTGTAAAGATTTTTTATCCTGTACCTTTAGGATTTGGAAGGTAATGCAGTACATTCTAATCTTTGTGATGAAAAACACAATTTTCCAGAACAACAATAGATTTTGGTATAAATTGTATACATTTTCTGCCCTTTTTCTTTAATTATGATATAGCCTACATCTTTTTTCCCCTCCCCATTTTGAAGGGCTGGGGGATTGAATCCAAGGTCTCAGCTGTGCTCAGCAAGTACTGTGCCCCTGAGCTACTTTAGTCTAAGTCTTTCTAGTTAAGAAGTATTATTTATTTTCAGAGTCCCACATATACTTGAAAATGGTAGAATAAACTAATTTTAATTACAAGGGTTTTTGTGTGTTTTGAATCTCTATATAATGGAAAACTTATATTTTAAACCATGAAGTTAAAGCTTGAAGCAAATATACATATATATAAGCATGCATACTAATTTATTTCTGAAAAAAAAACTTTCTTAGGAATCACGTTTCTTCAAGAATTGCTGGGAATATTTAAATGGTCAAATTGGAAGCGAAGTAGAAGTTTTTATCTGGTAATAGAAGCCTGGATTCAAAGCCTGAAAAATAGATTCAAAGAGAAGAAAGTAACTTAGATTCTCTTTGTCTCTCTCTCTCTCTCTCTCTCTCTCTTCCCACTCTCTTTCTCTCTGTGTTTACAATATGTAAAGTTTTGCTTTTTATTCACGACTTGAGGTTAAAAATCAGTACTTTCAAGCTTGCTTCTGATGGTAGTGTTCATTCCATGAGAAGAAAATACATTTTGCTACTGATATAGCCTCCTGAGATTAGGGTGAGCAAATGATTCAGAGTAGCCTGCTTAGTGTTGATTGGTTGTATTCTGTTACTTCTTTACAAGCCATTATTATTTTGTATTGTAGTTAAAAAAAAAAAAGAAAGATAAATTTTAATGGATTTGCCAGTCATGTACATGTGTGTGCTAGCTAGCCTTTTTTCTTTTGCTTGCTCCCCGTACCTCCTTCTTCCCTCCCCTTTCCCCACTCCCTCTTCCTCTCTCTCTTTCTGTCACCCGCTTAACACACAGACACACACATGTTTGTTTTCCTTCCTCTCTCCTTTTACTTTTCTCCCATTTAAATATGGGGAAAAGGTTAATGTCTTTGGTTATAATTATGAAATGCCTATAGCTATAAATAACTTATTTTATGATGAGTTATAATTCTTTAATTTATTTTTAGTAAATTCATTTATTACATTTAGCAATCTGTTGGTTAAAATTGCTCAAAGAAGAAATACCACTATTCAATTTTTCTCTGAGAAAAAGGTCTTAAGAATAAATGTGTAGCATATCATACACATTCAGGTTTGTATTCTAATACTATTTTTGTTTTTTAATTTTCAAATGAAAATGATGTTGGCACATGACTATTCACTAGTATGTGATATGCTACATTAATACTATTTTAGAGATTATAATGCTATTTATAATTATAATTTTCCGAAATTGGAGTTTGAAAACTTGAAATTAACAGGAAAAAATTATTGGAGCCCTTTGATATAAAATATATTTAAGACATTAAGTTATTTAAAATTTACTTTGGAATGGAGACTTCATACCTTATATCAAATTTAGGGAAAATAAGATAATCTTTAAAGTTCTTTGAGCCATTGTGCATAGTTGCTGTAGGAAGTGCTGTTCAGCACTGGGGATTCAGGAAGTCTGTAGTTTAAATTCCTCAGGATCAGATTATTTTACAGATTTTTCTTTGCATATGGTATTAAGTATGTACTAAGTGACAACTATAACTTTTCTTTCCTCTCTTTCCTTTGGGAATTTCATGAATATAGCTTTAGCTTTCTTCTGATTTGTGTTATTTTTATACTTATTCTTAATTTTCAAGAATATACTTGTTCTTAATTCCTTTAAGTTGAAGCAGTCTTTTGAACAATCTTCAAGTTTCTTTAGTATATTGTGTTTTAAAAGTTATATAAATATCTATTGGACATGATTTAAGAATTTGGGGCAGGAAACTTCAATAAGGGGTAGGGAGACGTAAGATTATACCAAAAAGTTCCATTTACTCATTTGTTGGTTTTAGGCATTTTTTTCCTGCCACTTATTGAAAAAAATATATTTGCCAAAAATTAGGTCCAACAGTTAGATTTTTAAATTACCAGAATATCAAAGGAGGAATTAGAAGATTTGGGTGATTTGAAGGGAGAATTGACTGAATGTGAATTTATTTTTAAGTTAATGGTCAGTAGTTTTGGTAAGCATAGTCTCTGTGCTTTGGCTTAATCAAGGAGATTGTATTGAGTGTCATTAGCCAAGTAATCCTAAGTGTCCTCATTTTGTTTGGTTTTTTTTTGTGGAGTGGAAGACTAATGGCTGTTAATTTGCCTCTGTATTTTCACTGGAGATTATGAGATAATTTGTGTCTGATTTATCCTAATCCTGCTTGTATTTTAGTTGAAAATGTAACAAATGTAAGTGCAGTGCCAAAACTGGCTGTGTTACATGCTTACCATTTGCGTGAATTCCACAATAAACTCTCCTTAACAACAGCATCACATTTTGTGTTTAGTTTTACTCATCTTTGATCTAAACATGAATGCAAATCCATTTTTATCCATGTTAATGAAAAAGCATCCCTCTATTTTAATATGCAAACAGAAGACAAGTTTTCTGGGAAGTCTTGAATGAAGTCAGCAGAGGGTCTAGAAAACAGATAGCAGATATGAAAATTATATCAAAGTAACTTGTTTTACAGAACTAGGAACATGCAAACAAAATGGCAAACAAGAAATTAAGTCAATTTAGAGATTTTTATTTGATATCTAATTTTAATTGAATGGTATTGAATACTTTTGTTTTCAAACTGTAGAATATGTGTGTGTGTGTTGTATGTCTAAAAGTACTGTTGGTCTATACAAATGTGGTTCTGTTAGTTGGCATTTTTTTCCTTTCTATACTTAATGTTTTAATTGGCCTTAGAAAAAGATCTGAAGTTACTTCAGCAGCTGCAGTGTTTACTTCTTCTTCTCTTCCTCCTCTACCTCCTCCTCCTTCTTTTTCCTCCTCCTCCTTCTTTTTCCTCCTCGTCCTTCTCTTCTTCCTCCTCCTCTCCCTCCCCTCACCTTCTTCTTCCATCTTCCTCCTCCTCCTCTTCCCTCTCCTCTTCCTCCTTTTTTTTTTTAAGGGAAGGTCTGACTGTGTAGCCCAAATTGGCCTCTAACTGTTGATTTTCCTGCTTCATCCCCAGCCTGGGATTGTGGCATGCACCACCTGCACCCAGCTTGCATAGTATTGAAGAACTGTGTTTACCAGACAAGAAAACATAAGCTCTACAAAGTTGTTTTAGGGTTAAAATAGGTACAAAATGTATGGCAAGTAAATAAATCTCACTGGTGTCATCAAGGACGGGGGTGTAAAAATATAAAGAAAAAAAGAGATAACTTCCTTGTGAGAGAATTAGAAGATCATGTATTAGAAGATTCTAGATACTTCCAAAGGCTCTCACATTGGCACTACTTTATGTTAAAATATTACTAACTTGAATTCAATTCCACTTGAATTCTTATTTGTGCTTCATCCTGTGAAGTATTGGAGGAAAACAGGTAGATGTGAAATATCAATCTTTGGTCTGCTCATCTCTTTGTATATTCCAGTAAAGTACAAAAGTCTAAAT